GGTTCCCACTTCTGGTCCTGGAGAGTCAGTTTGCAACACAGTTTACACATTTCCCTGCTGAAACACACCTAATTCGGCCCCTATAGTAATTGTCAGGCTTAGGTGTGTGTGAGCAGGGAAGTCTGCAAACCATTTTGCAGTGTGGCCCTTCAGTACTGGAACTGAAGCTGTAGCAAGTGTAAGTGTACTAAACAGTCCAAGCTAGCGACTCCCAAATCATCCATTGCTTTTTTTCATATTACTCGCGTTGCCTCGCACAATTGCATGCTTTTGTTTAGTGGGATTTTCCAGTAAACGCTACTCCCACCTCTCAAAACTTTTGTTTTTACACAGATTGAAAATTGTGGTGCTACTAGTTGCTGTTAAGTGTAAAATACTCCCAGATTGTCACCTCTCTTCTGATGTTCTTCGCTCCTCGTACTGCAAAGCATATGTGTGTGTGTGTGTGATGTCACAGCAGGCAGAAGTCACTTCACTCACACCCAATGAGTAGTGAAAAACCAATGTTACTGACTTACCATACTTTCATATATAAAAATGAATGGCTGAAGTTAGTTAGAAAAAGTGCAATGCAATCATATTTCCTTCACATGTCATTTATTTTCTGCATACATCAACAACACACTTATTCTTTTCCCTGTTCCATTTTTATCAGGGCATTAAAACACCCATCAAATTTAACTGTATGGCCATTTCATACTGTAATAATTTTTATTATAGATTCTAAACACCCATTTAACCCCATGCAAAACCTGTCTTCACGATTTCTTCAAAAATAGAAAGTACATAATACAGTAAAATTGCTGAAACGACAAAAAAGGGACATTAGTGTGGCATTTAAGACTAAGCATTAAGTTTGTGTCTTTTTGTTTACTAGATATGGTTCACTTATTTAGTTTTATTTTTAGAAAGATACTTCTCTCCAAGATGATCTGTGTTTATCCCAGAACACTAAGGACAGTTCTTAAACAAACTGAATTTTGTACACCTTTCTAAATTCCTCCCTTGGATTTCACCTTACCCCCGTGTCTTCCACTTCTCCTTAGCTGTGGCTTTTCGCCACACTCATTTTCACTCGCAGCACATTTCATTCCTACAGGGTTTGGTGTTGCCGACAGATCCAGATATTTAGCCTGCTAGGTATCTGATGGCCAATTTGCTATCGCACTCCAAGAACTGTAAAGCACTTGCTTATTTTTGCGTATTTATTGACTGGTTAAAATGGATAGCAACCAATGCTTTGAGATGGCTACTGCGTTCTAGGTTGTCTGCCCAAACAGGGCTAGCAATTTCATCTCGTCTTTACTCGTCAGAGCATAACGGCGTTTCACTTTAATTTTCATTGACCATTTTAATATTTACGTTGTCACTACAGTTTCATCATGGAATAAAAGGTCTTCAACAAATACTTATCAAAATGTTTGTTGATGAAATTAACACTGGAAAAAAACAGCGTTAGTGTTTAGCTTGAATGCCACGAAAAACATACAAAATGGGAAAGAGCTTTTGTGCGATAGATTTAACATGAAATAGGAGCTATTTGTACAATCTTTTTAGAGACTGCCAAAACAATAAATGAATAAGTATTGGACGTGGATCGGTCACATATAGCAGATACCCGATCTGTCAAAACGGTCTGGATTGGTGCCGATACCGATCTGAATATCATATCGGTTCATCTCTAGTTTTCAGCCAGACTGCTCTCTGATCAGTAGACAGCATGGCCAAACAGAGGAATGGATCTCAGATTCACCTGTTGCAGGCCCTACAGTTGTGCGTTGTGGGAATGGGTGTGTTCTTAAGATCTCTTGCTCGCCTCCGTAGGCTTGTGCTGCCCGGGACGGTGTGCAGGTGGCAGGACAGGGAAGGCAGCTGTTCTCTTAGCCTTTTACATCTTTTTCTCTTTTGAAGGAGAGAGAAGCGGCTATTTCTGGAAGAATAATTCTGCCTTGTGATCCAGTGTTTTTCCTTCGCCATGCAGGGCAGCATAGCACCGCATGCCCACGCACAGACGCAGAGGCACATGGCCATTAACCAAGTGCAAATCTCTGCAGATAGAGCAGGATCCACACTTGCATGCACCTTGTCTGACGTACTGTCATTAAGCAGACCATGGACATGCGTGAATAGTTGGAGACCATTCGGGGTGAGTCAGAGACACACTTTCCAGACCCGTCTGGGTGTTTCAGCTCCACTCCAGAGGTGAATCGTCACACTGTTGGCATCAAAGAGGTCTGATCCTCAACACAGCAATGTGTGACTGCTGATGATGTCAAACACCTTTTCAGAGTGTTTGTTGTGGGGCATCTGTCTGTGTCATTGGAGGTGCCTATGCATAGCTGCTGAGCTCATTGCTCGTGTAGCTGTCAGATAGATGGAGTGTGTCTATGCTGGCAGTGAAGGGGGGACCAGCCTGCTGTATCTGGGACTCCACTCCTGCAGTGTCCTGGTTGTGCTGCTGGCTCTGGTGACCCTGAGTTTGCAGAAGCTCTCAGACCTGCCTGGATACTTGTCCCCCTGAGAGACCTTCAGCATTGCCTGAGGACAAAGGTAACATGCAGCTTTCTTAAGGATAAACATCCTGAGGGTTAAGAGTATAATGAATTACAGTGGTACCTCGGTTCTCAAACTCACTAGAACTCGAATTTCTTGAAAGTCGAACAAACCAGTTTGACCTAGAACTCGATCTGAATATCAGAAGTC